TACTAGTAACAAGTGCCTTACTAGTAGTAACAAGGACGCTACTAGTATTTGGTCGTGAAGGAATACACAGCTTAGACGACTAGGCCAACGAGGGAACATATGGAAAATCGACTGCTAATCACATAAAATAATACGATTACATCCTAATTAGGCATGCCAAGTTGTACACATGGTAAAGGTTCATGAACCTATGTAGCGAGTGGCACGCGAAGGAGCTCTCCACCCTGCGAGAACGCAGCCACACTGAGGCGTGCTGCGGTTGTTCAAGCTGGCGCGTGTGCTGCGCATCATGCGATCCTTGGCAGAGGTGGTCCGGGTTCCAGGTTTGGCTAGTAAGAAAGTAATTTATAATGGTAATAGGCTCCTTGCACATGTGAAATTTGCACAGGAGATCCGGGTTAGTAGACGAACATGGCTGTTTTGTTTTGGCCTCATGCTTTTGCGGTATCTTGAATCATCCTATGTGGGCCATCTGACTGAAAATTAAGTCCGATACTGGCCCATGCTAATTTAATCCTCTCACAAAGACTGCATGTGAAGGGTGTAAAACGGCTGTGTGAGGGCTTGCTTGGTGGCAGTGTGCAAAAACGAGAGGATGATCCTGCAGTAGACTCTTTATGATGTGTTGCTTGGCTGTTTCTCTCAGTTGGCGGGGTTCAGAACTCTGTGTGAACTCAACAAAAACTGGACCGAAACTCGAAACACCCCACGGCCAACTGATCAAACCATCCCGGATGATTTGGCGACCGATGACGACCGATGAGGCACCTTCCGGTTCTTCACCGAGCTTCGTTTGATGACGGAGTGTGTGGTGGGTTCGTTGCTTAATGCGCTCTGGTGCCGCGCCCTCAGAGCATCCAGACTTTTTGCGCAAGCGACGGCCAACATGATAAGCTTGGAAAGAATGGGAAGAACTTGGTGAAGATTTGTGACGGGTTCTGGGGAAACATGGAGGGGCTATGAAGAGCAAAGGCAGAGGGGGCCAAAACTTCTTGGCGCGCACATTTTGTTCACATTTTCATGAACTTGGAAAGCACTCTTGTGCTTCGACATGATGGTCTTGGCTGGTCAAACTTTTCTGTTGCTGGAAATTGGCATGGCTCACGCCAAAATCAACAGAGTGTCTCAAAGCACAGCCCAAAGATCAGGGCTCACCAAGACGAGCTTGTAGCAGCCCCCTTCTAAATTCAATAGGCAAATCAAAATCAATCAATTTGTGGAATACATTTTCTTAGGGGATGCTGGGATGCTTGTTTGATTGAGTGAACTTTTGTGTAGGCATGAGCCACACGTTTTTAACCTCGACCTCGCAGGCCGGCCTTTCAGCCCAAAAGTCATTGCTACCGAATCTGGTAGCGGAGCCTCCGTGAGGAGGCTCCACCCTGTGATAGGGTCGTAAGAGCCCGATCCAGGTGCCCCTTTTTTGCCCGCACGCGTCTCACTCGCCTCCGCTTGATGGTGGCACTTGCACTGCGGCCTGCGCTTTTCATTTTGTCCGTCGCCTGCCACATCGGCACCCTCAACATCCTCTTCGAGCCCTTCGCATCGATCCTGATCGCTGACAAGGTTCACCTTGGCCAGAACGGCATGGCTGCCGTGGGCGCTGCCCCGTCTGGGGGCCTGCCGCTTGGCGAGTTCCGGAAGGACGTACCACCCGGATGGGCACCGGGGGATCCAACATACCCCCTCAAGCTCTACATGGAGCGCCTTCGCATGTGGTACAGGACCTATGATGGCATGGACGAGACCGTTGGTCCCTTGGTGGCTGGCAGATTGCAAGGACGAGCTCAAGCAATCGCCCACTCACTACGACTTCCAAATCCACATGGTCGCGTGGACGTTGGCGATGCCGCTTTAGTGCGGCTATCTGTGGAAGAAGTCCGTGACCCCATGAACGGTCAGATCATACAACATGCCATCCCTTCTGGCGTGCAAGCGCTTTGCAACGCGCTCAAGGAGGCCTTCGGTGATGCAGAGCAGGTTCAAGCCACGAGGAGCCTCGAGATCTTCTTTGACATGAAGCGTGGCCGACTTTCACTGCAAGAGTTCGCGGTGGAATGGAACCTGAAGTTGGAGGATGCCATCACCCATGCTGGCTTGCAGATTGGCAATGTGGCGAAGACATTTCTGTTCTTCCGTGCCAGCCAACTGCCTCAGAAGCACATCGACGACATCCTCATGCAGATCCACGGTGACCTGAACCGGTTTGAGGATGCTCGCAATCTGGCCATCAGGTTAGCTCATCGACAACACGATCATGGCCAGAGCTTCTATGACAACTCCTCCAGCTATCCGAGCACCACCGAGTACTATGACATCGAAGAGGAGTATGAGCAGGCTTGGACAGGCTCAGATGCCTACTACTCCCCGGAAGAGAATGACACCTACTGGCAAGAAGCTTCCGACACCTATGAATGGTGGCCAGATGAGTTTGCCTATGAGGACTACATGAATGAAGGTCCATGGCAAGAAGATGAATGGCAAGAATCCTGGACAGGTGATGACCATGAGTATGAACAAGAAGCACCACAAGAAACCACATCCAACGCAGCCGGCGTTGAGGACTACTACAAGGGCAAAGGAAAAGGATCCTTTGGCATCGGCTGCTCCATCTGTGGCTCAAAGTGGCATATGGCATCATCCTGCCCTATGAATTCCAAGGGCAATCAGCGCTCTGGTGGATGGTCCTACGGCAAGGGCAAGGGCAAGCGCAAAGGAAAGAAAGGTGGCTTCAGAAGCAAGGGCAAAGGCAAGTTTCGTTCTCGCGGCTATCCAGGCCGATGGGGAAAAGGCAAGGGCAAGAGCTACATGACTCAGACGCCTTCTACACCAGTGTGGTCCAGCCACACCACCTACGGCTTCACGGACTCCCCTGATCGACGAGAACGACAGCTTCACCATGCCCGCACTGGCCTCGATCTTTCTGGTCCCTCGGTGACTTTGCCTCCAATGAATCTGCGAGCAAAAGAAGAAGCAAAGAAGTCCATGCATCTGGACATCAGCCGCGAAGAAGATTTCCTTCGACGTGCACAAGATCGAGAACAAGAACCAGCTGAACAGCAGACCTCCAATGATGGTGAGAAGCCGGAAGCAAGCTCTAAGACCCTGTTGAGCTTTCCTGTCATGATCCACCACGACACCAAGGACATTGACCTCACCACGTTCCACACAGTGGCTGGAGAGAAGCGTCGCGGTCTATTGGTTGATCCTGGAGCTGCAGCTGGATTGATAGGAAGCGAGACGCTCCGTGATCTCATGGATCATTGCCTTCGCCCTGCAGGTTTGGACAAGCATGTCGTGTGGAAGGAGCGCACCACCTCAGTGACTGGCATCAGCGGCAAAGGTGATTCCACCTTGGCTGAGATCACTTTCCAGTTCCAGCTCGATGAGAAGAAACGTGCATCGTTCTCAGCAGATGTTCTCGGAGGAGAAGGCTCGCTCTGTCCGGCACTCATTGGCAATCCGAGCTTGCGAGCAATGGGAGCAGTGATGTTCACACACTTCTTTGACAACAACGATGGTCTTCTAGTATGTCACTCCTCCTCTACTCCCTCGACAGAGAAACCAACCATGATCAGGCTGCTTCTCACTGACTCCGGGCACTTCATCATCCCAATGGAGAACATGCAGCCTGTGAGTGAGTCTGCACAGAAGACAGCAATCCATTTCGTTGGACAAGTTCATCAACATGCTAAGGATCGCTGGAATGACTGCAGCAACTCCCTCAAGTACTGCTTCAACACTACCGTGCAGACGGAGACACCCAAGGGCGTAGAACATGACCGGAGTGAAAATAAGACGTCTGAACTTCATGCTCAACAACCGCTGAAGCAGGAACCACAGCACTGTCAAGATCCTTATGCTCCACAACCGCTGATACCAGATCTACTGCACAGTCAAAATCATGATGCTCTACAACCTCTGATACCAGATCCACAGCAAGAAGATGATGACCATGCACCGTCTCCCAAACATATGCAGAGAGATCATTGGCAGAAGAACGGAGACCAATGGGTGCGTCATCATGTCCGACTCCGGCAAGCTCTCTTCAATCCGCAGACTGGAAGATTCCCTGACAAGCTCAAGAACATCCAGCCGTCAAGGAAGACAATCCTGCACTATGACGATGGCACCAAGCAGGAACTCCATGATGAGTGGATTGATGAAGAAAGTGCACAGAAGATGATGCTCCACAAGTGGACAGGCATGACAATCTTCCTGATGAAGGACAACGTCCCTGACACGAACACCGTGCACCAAATGAAGAGTTTGAACGAGACACCTCAGGAGGTCTACATCGCGGACAATGATGACTACATCTTCATGGACGAGGAGCTTCAAGCCTATGAGGATGACCATTTTCCTGAACACCTCACTGATGCAAAGAAAAGCTACCTGAGGAAGTTCTATCGAGCAGTTCCTGAAGAGTTCTACACTCGCATCAAGAAGCGCCCAGTCACACCGAGCAACTGTCTAGAATGGTTGCAGCACATCAAGCAGCACAAGAAGAAGAAATTCCACTTCTGGGAGATCTGCTCTGGTTCAGCCAGACTGTCCCTGCTTGCTCTGTTGTCTGGCCTGACAGTTTGCTTCCCGGTTGACATGCGCTATGGCTGGGACATTGGCTATGCGCCGCACCAAGCTCTTCTACAACGTGTTCATGATGAACTACAACCAGAATGCCTCCTTGGAGCTCCCAACTGTCGACCTTGGTCAGTGTCAGCATCAACAAGAGACCCAGAGGACACTGCCAGAGAAAGAGAAGAGGAGCAACCAGCGCTGGAGTTCATGCAGAAGATCTTTCGCAAGCAGCATGCAAGACAGAAGATGTATCTTCTGGAACAACCGTGGTCATCGGCACTCTGGAATCATCTCGATCTTCCTGGAGAACGACAGCGGACTGATCAATGCCAGTTTGGCGCAACAAATGAAGAAGATGCACCGATCTTGAAGCCGACAGGTCTTCTTTCCAATCGCACTCTGCAGCGCTCGATCCTACGATGTTCTGGTCATGGACGACCTCATGGATGGCTACAGGGCCAAGTGAATGGAAAGAACAGAACCACGATGGCATCGGTGTATCCTCGCAAATTCTGCCAAGCATTGATCAAGGACATCAAGAAAGTGATCAATTTTGTGAGCAGCATCTACTGGGAGTGCGAGCGATGTCAGATGGGACAATTTGCACCGCGTCACATGGAGCACTCCCTCATTCCAGGGCAATGTCGACATGGAAGATGGCCTGACGATGATCCTCGGTCACAGAAGTCCAAGGCTGCCAAGAAGGAAGAGAACTTGCTTGACATCTTCAAGCGTGAAGCGCTCACCAACCGAAAGATTGCTCAAGGCATCATCATCTCTGGTGGTGAGATTGGCTTGACAATGAGCGAGCAGCCTTGTTCAAGTATGCTCTCTACAAGATCCTGGAGGAGAGCATGTCTGCCTTCGAAAAGAAAGAAAAGGAGAAAGACTACATTCATTGGGTCCGTGATCCTGTGACCTCCACATGGATTCGTCTCATCTTGCAGGACTACATCAAGGTTGCTGGCGTTTGCGCTCATTTGCAGCCATGGACGAAGCCAGTGCCAACACCACATTTGAAGGCTGATGAGGCCTTTCTTCGACTGATGGTACGAGGCAAGATTGAGTCATGGCGTCTCCTGCCGATGGAAGATCTTCGTGAACTTAGCCATCACCAATGTCACGAGCCAGTTGACTTTGACGAGGATTGGCTTGTCTGCATTTTTGGCAGTTATCCATCGGCATCATCATCGAGGAATCCACAACCTTCGCTGCCTAGCACTCCGGCACCGAAGACACCGGCGGCCAGAACATCAGCGCCTAGCACACCTGCACCTGGCACTCCCGCAGTACCTCCGGTACAAGTGAAAGAAGAGCCGACAGAAGAGTTTTAGACCACTGGATGATGGAGCTCTTCCTACACCATATGAAGATGAAGAAGTGCAGGTGATTGAACCCGATGATGGAGAGGAGAGCAAGACTCTGAGACCGCTCTATGATTTCCGTCGTATCTTTCGTAAGCTGCCAACTCTTGCCACGACAGATGAGCAAAAGGCCAAACGACTACTTCTTGGACTACATGAACGACTTTGGCACTGTCCTGTCATGGACTTCCGCAATATTCTGTCGCGGTGTGGCATGCCTCCAGAAGTCCTCAACCTTGCAAAGACAGTTGTGTCATCATGTGCTGTCTGCCGTCGCTATACCAGGGCAACTCGAAGACCACAAGTAAAGAGCGGCTTGGCAAAGGACTTCAATGAGGTGATTCAGGTGGACTCCTTCTCTTGGCGATCAAGCCTCTTTGTCTGCATTGTGGACGAGGCCACACGATACAAAGTTGCGGGAACTCTCAAGTCCAGAGAGCTGTCTAGCTTTCAAGAAGCTCTCCTACGCCTCTGGTTTCGATACTTTGGCCCAGCACGTCGTATTGTGTGTGATCAAGAAGGAGCCCTCATGAGTCAAGAAGCAGCACCTGAATTCGACCGACTTGGCATTGAGCGAGTCCCTATGGGCACAACAAGTGGTGCACAAGGCCACAAACACACAGGCACAGGAATGGTAGAGAGACACATTGGTCTACTGAAGTTGACGATGGGCAAGTGTGCCACAGAAGCCTCACGATTCTCCATTGTGCCTGAGCATGATGAATTGGCCTCTGAAGCTGCCATGAGTCACAACCTCACCTTGAACATCGGTGGCTACAGTCCAGCAATGATGGTCTTTGGAATCCTACCTCGAGGATATCTTGACCACGAAGAAGTGCCTCTCTCGACTGCCAGCGCAGAAATGGACCAATCTCCATTTGAGAGAGCTGTCCGTCTACGACAGATTGCACTGCAAGCTGCACAAGCATCCATCCTCGAAGACCGCATCATCAGAGCTGAGAAGTTGGATCTTTCTGGTTTGATAGCAGGTTCCTCACAAGTCGAGATTTTCCGTGACGATGGCAACTATGGTTGGCGTGGTCCGGCCCTTTTACTGAAGATCAATGATGCTGATGGCACCTGCATTGTGGAGTATCAAGGACGACCATACCTCATGAGCCTTCGACACATCCGGCCATATCGGGGCAGTTTCTTCTCCCACAATATGACTGAGGACCTCGAGAAGCACTGTGAGCAAGACCTGCTGGATCTGCAACAGCATTGTGAGAAGAGCGTGCCGTATAAGCTGCACACCATTGGACATCTATACACTACCTCCTCTTCCACCTCATCGCCACAGTGGATTCGAGTTCCAGCTGAAATGAGCTCCACGGAAGAGGAACTGTTGTCCAAGGCCAGAAGAGTAGCAGCATTCTACAGCAAGAGAGAACTACATGGCATTCGCTATGGCAGAGCTGTGAAACAGATCTTTGTGCCCAAGTTCTCTCGTGGCATCCTCCTGTCTTGGCCGTATGGTTCGAAGCAGTATGTCATGGTAGAGCACAATGGTGACAACCACCTGGTCTTGAAGAAGATAATGCACAGCGCTTTGGAAGACGTGTGCCATCTCTACATGTACTACTACACCATCTACCAGGAGGAATCTCCACCAGCACAGATCACCACTCGGCAAGCACCGTCACCTCAGGAACAACGAGTACCTGAACAACAAGAACAGGCCATGGACACTCAAGAGTCCAGAAAGCGAGAAGGACCTGAATCTCGCACCATCGTGCTGGCACCTGAGAAGAAAAGAGCTCGCTATGAGTATGCAGAAGATGAAGGACACTCTGAGCACCACCTTCTTTTGCAGTCTATGTGGTGGATGACAAGACGACCAATGAAGATCCAGTATCCCCGTGATGAAGTCTAGTTCGACAATCAAGCACTGATCCTTCAGCAAAGCCTACCTCAGCAAAGCACACATCATGTACCACGACAGCGCTTTCTCTTCCACTTCCATGGCAAAGAAGCAGAGCTCCTCTACATGGATTTGAGAACGACAGACATCTTCCGTGTGGACAGTGACACAGATGTCCTGAATGAGGAGCAGTTGAGCAAGTGCTGGGAAGCTTTCGAGATCTCCGACTTTGCTGAGCTGAAGCAGTTCATTGATGAGAACGCCTTCTTCAAGCTCCACGTCAGTGAAGTGACTGATGAAATGGTGATTGTGGACTGCACATGGGTCCGCAAGTTCAAGCGGAATCCAGACAAGTCCATGAAGGCAAAGAGCAGGTTATGCGCACGAGGCTTTCTCGATCCTCAGAAGTCCTCCATGCCTACAAGATCAACAACGGCAACTCGGCTGTCCCAAAGATTGCTAGTCAGTCTTGCTGCAGCACTACACCTGGACATTGAGTCCCTGGATGTTTCGGGTGCCTTCCTGAAAGGACTGTCATTTGACCAAGTGCGCAAGAAACTGCGTGAGCGAGGTGTCATCTCGCCAAGACGATTGGTGGCAATTGTTCCTCCTGCCAACGTTTGGCGTCACTTGGCCAAACTGGACAAGCGTTTTGACATCCCAGAGAGCAGCATGAGCGAATACCTGCTTGGATGCAACAAGCCCGTGTACGGCTTGAATGACGCGCCTCTTGCATGGCAACTATGTCTGCGCGAGTATGTGGAGGAGCTTGGAGGCACTCAGTCCGTCTTCGACGAGAATCTATGGTACTGGAAGTCAGCAGGACAAGTCACCACAATCCTCACTACTCATGTAGATGATATTGCCATCGCTGCACCTGCTGCAAGACAACAAGAGCTCCACAGCAAATTCACCAAGAAATTTGGCAAGGTTAGCCGACAGCAGATGCCCTTCACTCACTGCGGCATGGTCTATGAAAAGGTACCTCAAGGCTACCGCATGCAGCAGTATGACTTCACCGCCTCCTTGAAGACCACCGAGATCAAAGATGGCAAAGATGAAGAGCGTTCGTTGACTAAGGAGGAAGTCACACAGTACAGATCCATCCTGGGCGGTTTGCTATGGCTGACTGCCACTCGCATCGACTTGGTGGCAGAAGTGTGTCGCCTGCAGACATTTGTGACGCAGGCCAAAGTGAAGCATTTGAAGATGGCAAATGACATCGTGAAGCGAGCTCAAGACAAGAAGTACAAGGACCTGGCGATCATCTATCGGCACTTTCCAAGGTCCAGTGGCTGGCGCTTGGCATGTGTTCATGACGCATCATCCGCGTCTCAGGGACGCACCTATGCCAATGAAGGGATTCTGGTTCTGTTGACCATCGACAAGCTGAACATTGATGACAAGATCCACGACATCTCTGGACTGCACTATGATCCAGAACTATTTGGTGGACCAGCTCACATCCTATGGTCACAAGGCAACAAAGCCAAAAGAATCAGCTACAGCACCAGTCACGGAGAGACATTGGCGGCCATCAACGGCCTTGAATCATCAAGTCTCGTGGCATTGCGCCTTGGAGAACTCCTGATCAATGAGAAGAAACCAACACTTCACCAATTGGCAGCCCTGCAAGAGCAAGGGGTACCCTTCCTGCCAGTCGATTGCTACACCGACTGCAGAGACTTCTATGAGCTCACCACAGGGGTGAAATCGATGCCTCAGGACAAGGGCCAGAGGATTTACATCATGGCTCATCGTGAAGCTCGACTATGTGGTCGCATTCGCTGGGTGATCCTCATTCCAACAAGCTGTATGACAAGCGATGCATTGACCAAGGTCATGGTTTCTCCATGCTTGAACGAGCTGCTCACGACAGGAGTGGTACAATTCTGGAATGTACCTGGCCATCCGATCGAAGCACGACGGCTTCCAAAGTTTGAAGAAATTGAAGAAGAGCATTTGCACATGGGAGATAAAGAACTTCTTCGGCACGAAGGAACTTCATCATCGACGAGACCTTCGGCAAGATTGTTGGCGATGCTGTGCTTCTTAGCACTGATGGGCTCCTCGAATGCCAGCGGTGAGAAGCAGGAGAATGACGATGAGAAGGTTGGCGACTCCTTCTACTACATGGTCATGGGCATTGCAACCATTGCCATTTTGTGCTGGCAAGTTCTGCTGAGCTTATGGAGGACTTTGAGGAATGCCTTCATGAGCTCCTATGTGATGAAGAAGAACTATGAGCAGGATGACAAGGAGACAGAAGACAAAGATAGCCAGTGTGATCTTTACACCACTTCGGGACTGCTGGCGGAGATCAAGCTGCTGAGACGGACTGTGAGCGAACTTCAACACCAGAAGAAGATCTTGGAAAAGGATCTAGCCTGGTCAATGGACCAAACCAAGCAAGAGGAGAACATGACGCACAAGCTGCGCTTCCGCCTACGGCAACTAGAAGACCCTACATCGAGCACGAGCTCATCTGACCGGGCATACGAGATGCACATGAGGACAATGTGTCCGATTGGAAAGGAGATTTTCGTGACGCCCACGGGCGAAGCATGGCACAGCTCTGAGTCGTGCCAAGTTCTCAAGAGGAACACGACAAAGAGCATTGTAAAGAAGCCCTGCTCTTTCTGCTCTAAGTGAGCGAGACACCCGGCATAAAAGCATGACCGGAGTGAACTTTTGTGTAGGCATGAGCCACACGTTTTTAACCTCGACCTCGCAGGCCGGCCTTTCAGCCCAAAAGTCATTGCTACCGAATGATTGATCTACATATATAGTGTCTACATAGAGTTTCGCCACGTTGATCCATAGGCATTAGCTTCATTGCAATGAGGTGTGGCCTTGTTGTTCATCGTGAAGTTCATCTTTGCGTTGCTCATTGCACAGGCCTTAATAGGACTGGGGTGGCTGGACTTGAGTTTGCCATAGTTTGCCTATTTGGGTTGCAAGCCTAAACTCTTCACTAGGGGTCCTCGACCCATAAGGACACTCTTATATGGAACACTTCCGTAGATGTTGTTCATTAGATGTGTTGTGGGCATCCTCATTTTGTGACAGCATACAGCTACGTCTAAAAGGGAGGGGAGGGTGTTTGTTTTTCAACAGCTACGTCTTGGACCTTCCCAGTCGTTTCGTTTGGTTTTTGACACCAAAAGGTCGGAAGAGAGACTGAGGAAATCGGACATGGACGGTCTGAAGCCATGAGAACCGGTGGTGACTGGTTTGGTGGTCAAGTTGGAGAATGGCGACATCGCTGAAGTTCGGCTGTGTCTGAGTTTTGCGATGTCGAATATTGCTGTGTTTGTCTTCAATGCCAACACTCTTGCCTTTGAGACTGACTGCTATTTGCAGGACATTGGGTAGAAAAGGGTGTTGACCCGGACATGGTGCACGCGATGCTCGGCTGAAGCAGTCCTAGATTTTGTTCGCTTTGATGTGCTTGGGGTATGTTCTTCGCAGTTGTGCTTCTTTGCTTCTCCCAGCCTGTGCTCTGTTGGCGCGCCACATTGGGCACTTGGTTCTCCGATGGGTGAGGTCGAAGATCCACTGTTCGGCGAAGCCACCGGAGACGACTCCACAGCCGTTCCACCAATTCCGGTCCGATGACACAAACCCATATTTTGGGTTTGTCCTATTACCTGCAACAGTCAGCAAAGAATCAAGTCACTACTTTAGAGAAAGGCCTACAACCTAACCATCATCATCCACTGAGGCCCTGGTTTTTGGAGACCCAAACCCAGATATCTCACGTTATCACAATGTCTTCCGAGCGGGTCCCAATCCATCAGGTTTACGTACTTCTATCCGAGCGTCAGCGGGATCATGGCCGCTCGGTGCGACGTTTAGAGACAGAGTTTCATAAGAGAAAAAGGAGAACAAACGAAGGTCCGAAGGGTCTTATTAAAGGGTCTCTTTAATAAAGGTACTTAATGGCCTTCTTAAAGGGGCCCTTAGCTTTGATTCTTCTCTTTCTCTTTTGTCTCTGTTAGGCACCAATTTGGTCGGGCCTTCTTCCACATTTTATGTTGTAAGGGGGATCTTAAGTGAGTTTTTAGTGCTGCTGTATCAGTACAAATCTTGTTCACAGATCTCCATGCTTATGAACCAGCTTGACAGACTCAGCAGGTAAGTTTGAAGCTGCCAGGCATGCTGTAACCCTGTATATAAATGATTTGAACGTATAATATCAGGTCTCTTCGAGACATTATTTATTCTTTGGGTAATTTGATAGATTTGGTTTGTCGACTCAACACGTACGTAGTTGTGTTTTCACTGTTTTGCCGTTGACTTTGTTTACATATTTTTCTCGAACTCCTTTAATCTATTTTCTGCGACCTACACCATCCCAGACATATCATACAACATACCCGACTGCAGCCCCCTTTTTGGGTCTCCGACAGTGGTGCAGCAACAGCCAGCACTCCATTATCACAATGGGAACAGATATGGCAAGCCTCACACGATGACCACAGCAAAGCCAACGCATATAGTCACGCACCAATGGCAACCGGAACGATAATAATACGTGTCCGTCGTGTACATTAATGACAAGAACAACAACCGCAAGTTAGCACCAACAACAAGAACATTGAGGAACAACAAGAATGCTTACAATGACACCAAGAATGACAAGTCACAGCAGCAGCAGCAGCAACAACAGGAAACACAGGACAGAGGATAAGAATCTAGCGCCACCCTCCAAATATCTCTAAGCAGCCAGCCATTTCAAGTTTGAGTATCTCTGCGCTACTCGGTGTGCGCCATCACCCTCTGCTGCTCTCAGTTGACCTTGCTGCAGTCCACCACCTCGGGCGTTGACTGGCGCGACCCCTTCGAGGCACTGCAGGACATCGAGATCCTCCCTGTGCCGTGGCCGAATTGTTCTTGCGCCGCCGCGGCGTTGGAGTGGAGAAGGATGCGCTGGGATCATACAGCAAGCAAGGGATATTGATTAAGACTATATATACTAAGATTCATTGAGTGCCAAGTAGCAAGATGTCCAGTGCGCTGGCTGAAGGATCATGCCACAAGAATGGTCAAGCCACAAGGTAGGTAGTTGATACAGCAATTGCCGAAATCCAACGGTGATGGAATGATGAGCAACACGTAGCTACAGGTACTGTAGATACGTGCCTCCAGATTAGCTTCTTCTTTCCGCGTGACTGTTTGCTGTTTGTCAGTCACAGACGGGGGCAAGACAGCCAAGGCAAGCTTCAAGCAACAGGGATCAAATATACAACTACTGGGGCTTGTACTTTTGAGCCCATTGGGGAGCAAGCTAGTGTTGCTGGTTGTTTGACCTCTTGACAGGTGATCTTTGTATACAGTATACTGAAAAGACAAGGGAAGCTTCATCAGTGAATGCCCGTGGATGCAAATGCCGCGGCAATAACGGCCATCAGGTCCTCTTTGTGGTCTTCATTCTGGTCTTCACGGTGTCCATTTGGAACATCGCCACCTGGCTTGGGAAAACATGAGTCTCCAATGTATCGCTTAGTCAAAGCTCCACGTGTGACCCAGTTGACTCACATTCATCAGCAGCTGAGCAGCTTAATAACAAGAATCCGTTGAACAGCAAAGATCTCCACACCACTGTGGCTCTTTGGTGAACCCAAGTCTTTTCAAAAAGATTTTGTTTGCTCCCTCATCCAGCCTCCAGAAGTAATGTTAGTCACTGGGCAAGGTGGCAGGTGGTTACCACTCGCCACCAGCAAGCCACCAGTGGAGGTAAGGATCCAGGATAGGTAATGTAACTAGGTTCACACGGTATGACATAGGATCCTCACCGATATGCCTGATCCATAGGATCCCTCTCGCCGGAGGTTGGTTTTGGAGGTTCTACCCGAGAACCCCGTGGATCGAATTCTAGATGAATGGAGTTGTGCGATCCAAGTGATGCCAAAGTGAATGCGCAAGCCAAACTACTATAAACTACTATATATACTACTATAGTACTCTCATGGACAGATAGACCGCTAAGGGCTCTTTTCTTGAGTTCCTGACATGCTGAAGACCTCCACCAGGCTGGAGGCCACCCCCACCAGGCCGGATCTATATGGATGACCGTAGCATGTACAGTAATCCCTGCTCTCCGTGCAGCGATTGATAGCTGGAATCGATGGAGTGATCGAGTGCAGCTCAAGGAAAATCAAGCCAAAATTCAAGTAAGCGGCAAAGGCAAACAAGAAGCTACTAGGGGCTCCTGGCATCGCTACTAGGAACAAGGACGCTACTAGGAGCTTTCAGCGGAAGGTCCTGCTGATTGGATCAAACATCGTTGGCGCCTCCACGGCCAGTGTTGCCTCCCGCAAGTACACTCCTTTGTAAGAAAGCCGTTTGGTTGCGAACTGTTAAAGGCAGCTGATCTTCCTTGGCAGCTTTTGCTCAGAAGCTTCGTGTCCTTCATAAAATCCTGCGGCTTTGTATGGCTGGATTGCTCCTCTTCCGACTAGGGGTTCCAGCACGCAATATTCAAGCCCTTAAAGGCTGTTTCTGGCCAGCAGAGAATGGCCAATCACACATCAGACAAGTATTGACATTATTGTATGTTAGATAGCTTGATTTGCACCTGCATGTCATATCCAACGCTATGCAACGGATCACCACACGCAAAATGCGAGATCACTGGGCTCATCAACCTTCCCATTGGCGTTCGCGGCACGGTCTTGAAGGTTGGGCCCCTCCTGCCCCCTGGGTTTTGCACCATCCCTCCAATAGAGGAGAACCAAATGAGCGCACTCTGCGGTTCTAGCAAGCAGCTGCATGCGACCTCGCAATGGTGTGTCAACTGACTGGCTGACTACCTCATTTCTGAACAGCGTGATGCATCCGAACTTCAGGAACATTGGTCCCCTGCCTGCTGATCTCCAATTTCAGCTTCAACTCATTGACCTTGACGGTACTAGGAACCTAGGAAAGCTCTCGAAACTGCAGGCTCTTCCCGCTGTATGTTACTTGGATTTCTAGTCAGTGATGCTTGGCTCAACGTTTCCACCAATGTGAAACACTCCCCCTTTTGCATGGCCTGCTACGCGGAGCATGGCACCTTTTACCATATGATGTACGAATGCACCTCTTTCCACGGAACTGTTTGAACTCCACCAGTCAATCCTTGGACCCGACGTTTCGGCTGGATCTCTGCCAACCGCCCTGATCAGGATCTGACTCACCTAAGGTATCTTGCTGCCAGAGTTCTCTGGTCCCTGTCACCCAGGTGGCGCCGCAACTGCTGTCTACTTGTAGCGTGGAGCGCGGGCAGCGTGGTGCAGCGGGCGGGATTCAAGGGCTACTGCACCAATATCAACGAAGTCGTCGTTGCATCTTGAGGTGACCAGCGTGTTTGTGGAGAAGGCTTTGAAGTTGGCCCAGCCTGATTTGGACGGCATTGTCCTCGAGCCACTCAGCTCAAATGGGCGCTCGGCTGTCGGTGTGGCGCACATGCCGATCACCCAGCACATGACGAAATTGAGAGATCCTCGCTCAGTAGAGATCCGGATGTTCACCATGAGCTAGCATGGGTTACCTGTGTGTTTTGACAATGTTTGAATCTTTTGCATTAAATTTCAGTGAGTTGTTAAGTTGCTTGCGGGCTGCCGTTCGTTGTTTCGGGAGAATTGGCACGGAAGAAGTGTTTTTGACCCCTTGTGGGCCTTTGAAGAATTGGTTGTTAAAAACACTTGTTGCAGCATTTGCCTTGCTGCTGGCAGCATACGACGTCTAAAGGACTATTTTATAGGCTTAGTCGTGATGTGGACCGGTGTGGATAGCCCAACGACTTTTCTGAACTCCCAATTTTTGTTGTAAAGCCCTGTCACTTTGTACAAACTTTGTAGAGTTATCCAAAAATAACTGAATGTGTAAAAACTTTGTAAGAACCCAAAAGCTTTGCAAACGCTCTGTAAATGGCTCAATCTCATGGAAAACTTTGTAAAGCCTCCAATTTTGTAGTAAACAACTTTGTAAAATCAGACATTGTCAGAGCTTTGTAAAGTCCCGAAACTTAAAATAATCTTCTGCTAAATTCCGAAACTTTGTAAAGACTCGGTCAAAGTCCGAAACTTTGTTATAGACTTTGTAAAAACTTCGTAAAATCCAAAAACTTGTTCAAAACTTAGTAACCTTCCAAAACTTTGGAAATACTTTGTAAAACCCCCAAACTTGGCAGAAAGTTTGTAAAAGTCCAAAACTTGTAAAAGAAACTTTGTAAAACAATTGTAAACGAAGGGCGTAGGTTGATGCCAGAGCTGATGTCTTGTGGGCTTTGTGGGTCTCATGGCCCTGAACTCTTGGCTGCGTACTTGGATCTTCAGCTTGAGCATTGGACTTTCGTCAGGCGGCTTTCAACACGGTTGACATCATCGAGTTCATGCTGCAGGTCTGCTTGAAAGGGTTGCCCGCTTTCTGCGATAGGTGGGCGCCACTGCTGATTTGGCATTGGCGCTAGTTGAAGAAGTGGGTCACCTTCGGGTTGGCGGTGCGCGCATCCCCGCTGTCTACTTCACGTGGGCTGCCTCAAGGCGATCCGGCGTCGCCCTTCTTACTTGGTCTTTTGCTCCGTTACGGCTTCCATATGGTGGAGCAAGCCACTGTTGGACGTGAAATGGTGCAGACCATCTATTATATGGACGACAGGACATGCTTGGCGCCTGATCCTGAGACCACAGATCTTGCAATCGCCGCTTGGCAGGACCGTCAGCTTGTGCGTATGGCCGAAAACAACTCCAAAGCTCAGCTTGTCGACCTTGAAGGAGATGCAGAATGCAGAATGGCCAGGAGCTTGGCTTTGGGTGGAAACGCTGGGCGTTTTGATCAGGCGCCCTACACGCAAAGCACTCAAAGAGAATGCCAGGTACGCCGCGCGTTTTCGAAAAGCCTTGCTGAGCAACCGGAAGAGTTCCTTCTTGCCTGATGACATTGCTGCAAAAGTGGTAGATACGATGATCTTTGTTCGGCCCATCTCGGCCTATGGACGGGTGGCCGCGAATCCACCATCCTTGTATTGCAAAGCTTGACTCAGCTGTCTGGAGAGAGAGAGAGTGTGTGAGTGTTTGAGAGAGAGAGAGAGAGAATGTGTGTGTGTGTCACCCTCTGTTTCTAAGAGTTTTACTCTGTTCACAAGACCAGCAGGGGGCTAGCGGCCCATTTCTCGACGCTAGCCAACGAAGCTAGAGAAATGGGTGGATGAGCCTGTGGACGCACAGACTTGTACCTGCAAAGAAACTGTTGCTCACGCTGTCCACTCCCTTGTTCGGTTTCATGGTCCTTGCATGATAGACCTCTAAACCTCCTTTTTTCCCACCGCCGACTTGCAGCCGCGCTGAGTGTCAGATCGTTTCTGAGTGCACTTGCAAACAATGTTGAAAAATTCACCTCCGCGGACTTTGCCACCTTTCCGTTCCCTCATTCATTTCCTCGGGGAATTGATGTAACTGCAAACCCATCGTCTAAGTGTGAGAGAGAGAGAGTGCGCGAGTGAGAGAAAGATAGAGAGTGTGTGTGAGTGTTTGTGTGAGAGAGAGTGCGTGTGAGAGAGAGAGAGCGTGAGAAAGAGAGAGTGTGTGAGTGTTTGTGTGAGAGATACTTTGTTAACCCATGTAAACCTGCAAATATTTGTCAAAAATGTAAAACCCCAAGACTTTGCACTGAAAAACAAGTAAAATCCAGAAACTTTGTACAAACTTTTGTTTGAGTCTCCACAACTTAGCAAAAACCTGTGCAATCCCAAAACTGTGTAATTTGTATATAACATTTCAAACCTTCGTAGATTTCCAGTAAAATTTTCAGGATTGTATATATAACAAATTGTTCCCGAAAGCACCTGCGAAGGGTTTTTCCTTAAGCACTGCTGCCTATTTCATCTTCCTTAATCTCTTTCTCTTACTTCATCTTCCCCACTCTCTCTTCCTTACTCTCTTTCTCTTACTTCATCTTCCCCGCTCTCTCTTCCTGACTCTCTTTATCCTACTTCACCTTCCTTACTTCATATTCTTTACTAACTTTCTCCTACTTCACCCTCACAACATCATCATCTAATCATCACCTCATAGGTTATTAATCTCATATCATATCATATTATATCATATCAGGTTATAATATCATATCACATCACATCAATGTCAGATCATATCATCTCATATCATGTGATAAAATAATATCACATCACAACATAACATATGAAGTAGAAGTATCAGATCAACAATATCAAAGTACATCAGAAGTAGATATTGATAGGTAGGTATTGATAAGTGGGTATAGACAGGTAGGTGTAGGTAGGTAGGTGTAGATAGGTAGGTGAAGATAGGTAGGTGAAGATAGGTAGGTGTAGACATCTTCCTTAAGACACCTACCCAACTTCACCTACCCAACTTCTTCTTTATTCTTCTCTTTAGGCGGCGGGGCGGTGCGAGCAGGTCTTACGAAACGCAACCCTCTCGTGGAATCGTGGCCATCGATCGCGCGCGCGTGTGGTGAGACGCGAATCGCGTTTGTCCGTGAGCAACCCTCTGCGGAGATCGTGCGTGTCGATCGCGCGAACGTGTGGTGAAACGTACATTTTGTCTGAGCGCGGCTGGGCGCACCATTATAATTCTGGTCACAAGGATGTCGCCAATGTGCGGTCCGGACCGCATACTCATTGGGAAATGCGATTCCAAGGTCTGTGCCCGGTCTGTGCCCGGAGCGTTCCCCCATTGTAATTCTGGCTCGAAGGTGTTCCTGTGTCATCGCTCGGAGCGTAGTTACATTGTGTTTTGCAAGCTTTGGTTGCTAATCGCCTTATAGTTCTGGCTCGAAGGTGTTCCTGTGTCATCGTGTGGTGCGCAGTTACGTGGTGTTTTGCAAGCTTTGGTTGCTAATCGCCTTATAATTGCTACTGCAATGGTTTCCAACGTACTTTTTTCCAAGTTTTGCCGCTTTCATTTTTCTTATAAATCTCTTTTAAAAAACGCTTCGAAATCGCAATTTTTGGAGCTTGGACGTCGAGATCCGGTTTTGGGAGGCTATTCTCTGTGCTTGCGGTGCGCAGTTACATGGTGTTTTGCAATCTTTGGTTGCTAATCGCCTTATAGTTCTGGCTCGAAGGTGTTCCTGTGTCATCGTT